CGGACCTCCGAGTGCACAGCCACTGTGGAGTGAGCAAAGGATGGCCTGAGCACGCGCCGGCTCCAGGCCCCGCACAGGCTGGCTTCCCGCGCCGCCTTCTTTAACCCTGAGACCTCTGAGAGGTAGCACTCTGGCTCCGGAGACAGGTGGCCCAGCTGGCACCTGGGCCCTCCACCACCTTTCTGACCTACAGAGCAGTGGGATCCAGAGTGGGTGGCTGGGTGCTCTGCAGCCTGCCGGCGCCCACAGCCCTGCCCTTCCGGGCCCACCCTAGGCATCGAGGAGCTGTGCCAGAAGCGGGAGGAGCTGTGCCGCCAGATCCAGCAGGAGGAGGATGAGAAGCAGCGGCTGCAGAACGAGGTGAGGCAGCTGACTGAGAAACTGGCCCGAGTCAATGAGAACCTGGCCCGCAAGATCGCTTCTCGAAACGAATTCGACCGGACCATCGCGGAGACAGAGGCTGCCTACCTCAAGGTGAGGCTCGAGGCGGGGGGGTTTCCGGCCTGGCGCTCCCACAGGCAGAAGTGACAGGTGTGGTGTGGCCATGCCCACCAGGGAGTGATGGCACTGCTGTCATCAGGGCCTGGTGTGTCCCTGAGCCTGTCCTTTGCACCGTACTCAGTACTGTGTGGCTTGTTCCAGACCGTGAGCAGCAGAGTGGCAGCTACCCTGGCTTTGCAGGGTGCCAGGAAAGGGCTTTCGGCCAGACTCGCGGGATAGCGGGCCCTGCCAACCCTGTCTGCCCCTTCCCTCGGGGGCTTCCTCTCGGCTGCCCCGATGGCCTGGCCCTGGCTTGGCATGTGACGGGGGCCGGGCTGTGGGGGATTCCCACAGGGGGAACAGTGACATCATTTTATGTCTTTGTTCTCAGATCCTGGAGAGCTCACAGACTCTGCTTAGTGTCCTGAAGAGGGAAGCTGGGAACCTGACCAAGGCCACCGCCTCAGAGCAGAAGAGCAGTGGCGGCAAGGACAGCTGACGCGGCCCCGGGTGGGGAGAGGCCTCTCTCCATTGCACCCGTCAACGGCTTGGCCCCCAGCAAGTCCGTCTCGAAAGCTTCTTTGTTCTTCATGGCAGTAGCTGCCTTTTCTCACTGTCTTGGGAGCCACGGGAGACAGCTGCCAACCTCCACTGCCCCTGGATGACAAGAAAAGCCCTGGGGTACAGCCCACCAGGTGGGGAGCCTAGCCATGCGCTCACGCAGGCAGTAGGGAGGGCAGGTTCTGGGTCAGCTCCACTTGGGGACTCTCTGAAGCTCCCACACCTCCTGGGCTGTGGGAAGGCCCTGCTTCTAGCCTTAGCATCATGGGAGTCCCCTCATGTTGTCCCTCTGCCAGCAGCTGCCCAGGCCAGGCAAGTGGGGGAGGGGCTGGGGCCTTCCCTCACCTCGGAGCCCTGGAGGCCTGTGTTAATAAAGGTTGTCTTTGTGAAGGTCCAGGCCCACCTGCTGCCCTTATTCTTTTGGGAGACTTTGGCTGCCAGATATCTGTTCCCAAAACACGAGCCTCTCCTCAGTGCAGTGTGGCCCCCTGACTCCGGCACACACAGCCCATCCTTTGCTGGGGGCCTCTGCCTGCTGGTCCTGGTCTTTACTACCCGCTGGTGTCTAGCACAAGGCCTGGCCCAGGGAGCTGTCCTTCCTGGGCGTGGGTCCCTCAGCCAGCGCTGTGCCCCAGCTGCGTGGTTCCAAATTCTGCTCGGCCTGATGGCACCACTGCTTCCTGCTCCCGCTGGCCACACGCAAGCGTGCCCACTTCCGGCTTTCTGGGTGGCCTGGGCGTGTGTGACAGTATGCACTGGTTGAGAATGTACGTCCAGACACCGGGCTACTCCCTAGGAAAATACCCCAGTGGCTCCTTCTCTCTCCCCAGCCTTGGCTCCCCAGGACGGACGAGCTCACACTCTATGTCTGGGCTGTGAACAGCCCTGGCTCAGGCTGCCACTGAGCGGGAAGCTCTATCCCGCCACCCCTCATCACCTCCCAGGACCCACTGGGTTTCCCTGCCAGCCGCTAGCTGCCCGAGGGAACTTGCAGGCTCTCATGGGTCGGAGTTTTCCAAGCCGAACAGGAGACCAGATCCCCGAGGCTCTTCCCAGCTCCTGCCCTACCCTTTGTCCCCTCCCGGGCTCTCGGCCCCTCAGGGAAACCAGACCCAACAGCCGTAGCACTCACCCCTCCTGCTGTGTCCAGGCCCCTGAGCACAGTTCCAGACCCCAGAGAGCAGGCCAGTGTCCCACCTCCCACTGCAGCTACCAGTGTGCCAGCCCTGGGCGGGAGGGGGCTACACCAGACACCGGGAGGTCCCTCTCTGGGCAGGGGGGTGGCTGGGAGGGCAACTGGGGCCGTGGGGAGTGAACCTGGACCACCGGAGCTGCAAGGTGGAGATGCCGCCCGGGGCCACCTCCTTTACCTCTGAGCACGGACTCTGGGTCCCCGTCACACCCTGTGTGGGCTCTTCGCTGCTGCCAATGCTTTGGGGGAGCCCCACAAGTCTCCACCCCTGCACCCCCTTCTTAGGCTAAGGACCACGCAAGGAGGCGGCTTCGTCCAGTGCTGTTTATTGAGTCCGTCGTCAGAAAAGACCCATTCATCACAAAGGGGGCAGGCTGAGCTCAGACAGGGGCGGGTGTCTGGGAGGGGTTGCAGGCCCGCAGAGGACAGACAGGCTGCCGAGCCAGTCCCTCACTCTGGACACGCTCGACAGGTGCTGGGGATGGCATCCAGCAGGACTCTGTCCCTCCACAAGCGGTGCCTCCCAACCAGAGCTGGAGAGGGAGACCCAGATGGCCCCAAGGGACAGCGCTCCAGGTGCCCCGGGCTTGGGGCCCGAACACCAGCCCGATTTTGAGGCCCGAGGGAGGGAGGGAGGATGGGTTATGGGGCCTGAGTCTGGCAGGGCAGAGGTCGGTTGTCCTGGCAGGGCTGCAGTCAGAAGTAGAGGGCTGGCTCACTGCGGAAGTCCGAGAGGTCCTTGGGACTGGCGGGGGTGAGCTGAAGGGCGGGAAGGTAACAGATGGGGGCTCGTTCAGGTGTTAGAGACCCCCCTCCACCCGGGCCGGAGCCCCACTCACCATGACCTCCTTCTGTGCAGGCTCCACCTCATTTGGAGCTGGCTCCAGCGTCTGCTCCGGCCACTTGCTGAAGGCCACGGAGTGCTTTGGAGTGTAGCTGGACAGGCCTGCAGGCCAAGGGGCACACATGTGGGTATGTGAGGGCACAGACCCTGGCCCAGGCTGCCCGGACAGATGGGCACACTCACCTGAGCGGCTGTCTGGCAGCCGAGGGCTCTCGGGCGCCACGCTGCTCACGAAGGTGGCCCGGGGCAGGAAGAGCATGAAGGGCTGCTCCGCCACCCCATTCAGGCTGGGCCCCTCCTCCTCTTCCTCCGCATCCCCCTCCACCTGGGCCTCTGCCTCAGACTCCGACCCGGCCTCGGCCTCGGCCTCCTGCACCAGGGAGCTCTCGGAGGGGTATTCGAAGGTGGTGTGCAGGCTCTTGTCGTTAAAGGAAATCTTCATCTAGGAGCAGAAGGCATGTCAACCAGGGCCCTGCTGCCCCCCACCACGCTGCCCAGCCACCAGGCCTCCAGTGGGACCAAGGGGCACAGGGGGCTGTCAGGCCTGAGCGGGTTAGCAGAACATGCCATCAGCCCTCCAGAGGCTCCACGAGATGGGGGCTGCCTCTCATCAGAACACAGGCACAGGCCACAAGGACCCCGGGAGAGCCGAGTCAGGCTGCCCACAGCAACCCAGAGCCACTGTGTCTAAAGACTGGCACTCCAGGCCCCATCCATCCCCTCCCCACCCCACCCAGGGACCAGACCCCAGCTAGCACCCTCGGGGGCTCCAGGAACCTCGGAGGCAGCCAGCAGGGTCAGAAGGTGCCTTCTCAGGGAACAGAGCACTAACCCCCTCTCAACTGGTGGTTCCACGTAAGAGCAGAAGTAAGGCTGCACTGGGGGCCCCCACCTTCTGCTCCCGGCAGCTTCTGCCGTCGGCTGGGGCCTTTCTCCAGAGCCATCATCTCGTCTCGGCTTGCTGGGCACCTAGATGGTCCTGCCCACCCCAGGCCAGGGCCCCAAGGGCATGTATGAGGTGCTAAAGCCAGGTGGCTGTCACATGCCAACACCAGGAATTCAGCACCAAATGCTGTCACCCCGTTTTACAGTGATTCAGAGCTAGCTCGAGGCTGCACCGAGTCGGGGGTCAATGACCCTCTCCTCTCTCCGGAGCTGCCCACAGGGCCCTCCTCCATCCTGCCCCGTCTGCGGGCCCCAGGATGTCATGCCCAAGCCGCAAGCCCCCAGAGCCCACTCGGCGGGGCCGGGCCCGGCGTTTGGTAACAAATAGGAGCAGGGCCCGCCGGCAGCAGATGGAAGCAGTCCTGCCGGGGCTCGAAATATTAAACTCCTAGGCACAGGACACCGGCGGCCAGCTCAAGTTCCTCCTCCTCCCCCGGGAGGAGCCGGCGGCAGGAGCCGGGCCCCCAGGCCGAGAACCATGGGGCCCAGGGACAACACAACATGGAGGGGCCTCACAGGAGGGCGGGGCTGGTAGCCCGAGCACAGAGAGACACGCAGGACCCGCCTGGAGCAGGAGGCACAGCCCTGCTGAGCCAGTGTCCAGAAATAAGGGCATGCCCCCGCCGCCCCCTCCCACAGCCACACAGCGCACCGCCCTGCCCGCTCCTGGGCTTCCCGCCTCAGCACGGCTCACAGACCCTGCTGGGCAAGTCACCTGCCTGGTCCCAGCGCCTCGCGCCCTCGCCCCAGCCCAGTGAGTGGCCAGGGACAGGAGCAGGCCACCGGAGTCGGGCAGAACCAGAAGCGAGATGTCTGCTGCCGTCCCTCACCTGCCCCAGGTGGTCCCACCTGGACACCCCAGCTTCTCTCGCCAGAGGCCAAGCAGGGCAGGGGCCCAGCATGGGGGTGGGAGTGATCACCAGAGTCACAGGTGCCCACCCACTGCCCACCAGCTTGGGGATGGAGTCTGCTGGGCCTCCGTGACTGGCGCTCTGGGACGTGGGGACAGACCCCCTAGGAGCCCAAGGCAGGATAGAGCTGCCAGCCCAGGGCCTCCCCCTGCTCCAAGGCCCCACAGTGAAGGGGGCTCCCAGTCACCCCGGGTACACGGCACTTCCCCGGGGACCCTGAGCCCTCCAGGCCCATCCCCCACCACTGAAGGCGCAGGAGGGCCAGCTGCCAGGGCCAGGCCGGCTTAGCGCGCCCTCATCCGTCCTCATGGCCAGCTCCTAGCGGAGTCCAAGGGGGCTGGGCACACCCGGGCATCGAGCCTGGCACGGCCCGGCCATGCGGGGGAGGGGCAGTGCTCACGGGCTCGGTGACGTCCCACCTCCACACCGGCCCCCACCCCCACTCATGGATGCGTGTCTGTGGGTCACAGGACACCCCGTGACTCATGCTGCTGGGGGGCCGGCCTCCAGGCCCCAGGCAGGTGGGAGGGGCGTGTGGGGCTGGCCCTTGCACACACCCGGTCACCTGGCTCTGGGGACTTTGCCCGCTGACAGAGCGCAGCCGATGGGGAGGTCCAGCCTGGCCCACCTCCAGGCTCTCACAGGCCCTTTGTTTCCCTCCCTCGCCCGCCGGTGCACGCCCGGTGCACGCCCACCCCGACTCTGGGCCAGACCCGGCTCAACCAGCCCCGGCGCGGGAGGAGCGCCCGGCCGCTCACTCCCATCCCCCGCCCTGCCCGAGCTCGGCGCCACCCCACCCAGCCCCTAAGTTCCCCCTGCTGCTCAGGGCAGACTCTGCGGGCGGGGAAGCTGAGAGCAGGGTCTAGGCCTGCCCCCGTGCTCTCTGGGCTCAAAAAGACCACTGGGGGGGCCTGCAGGAAGAGCTGGGGGAACGGGGAGGGCAGACGAGACGAGATGCACCCACGACAGCACCAGGCACCTGGTTTCCTGCCCCACATGGCGGGAGGTGACATCGCAGGCCCCAGGGGGCAGCAGGGCAGCGGGTCTGAGGGCAAGGCTGTGCCAGAGAGCTGGTGGGGTGGTGGGGTGGCAGTTATGCCAAGGGTGAGCTGAGGGTGGATGGCCCAAGTGTTGCAGATAGAACCCTGGGGACAGGGACACGCTCGGGCTGGGCGGAGGACCAGCAGGGAAGGCGGTGAGGAGGGCAAAGGGGAGGGTAAAGAGCCTCCAGACAGGCGGGAGCCTGGCCAGGTGGCACCTCACAAAGGGAGGCCGGCCCCACGGGAGGCAGGCGTGGAGAGCCGTTGGACAGCCCCGCCCACCAGACCAGGCTGGGAGCTGGGCAGGGGTGAGAGAGCGGCCGCCCCACACCACCCCGCAGCAGCCAGCCCCGGCTCGGCCAGCCCGGGAGGAGCGATAGAGCATCTGTGATTCTTCGGCGATAACTAAGTGGGGACGTGTGCCCGCCAGGCAGGCCTCCCACTGCGCCGGGCAGCGGGCGCTCCCACCACCCAAGGCTGGGCTGTAGCCCTCCAAGGGCACAATACCCTTCACTGAGTGCCAGCCCCAGGCCGGGTCCCCTGACCCCTGCTTCCCAGGTAGGCCCTCTGCAGAGCCTACCTACCACACCTGTCCCCGGAAAAAACAACACCTACCTCCCTCTACTGCCCTGGGGCAGGCAGCCAGAAGGGGACAAAATGAGCAGTCGGCCCCAAGGTCCTGCTGGCCTCCAACCAACCCACCATGTCCCTGGCAGGGCACAGGAGAGCAGGGCGGTGATCACACCACGGGCTGGCGGAAGTGGTCCGGGTGAGAATGAGGCCCGGGGGGACAGTGGGAGGAGTGCCCAGGAGCCGCAGGCAGAAGGGACAACAGGAGTGGCCCAAGGCTGGAAGGCTGCTCTGAAGGGCCACGCAGCCCCACGCCTCCATCCCACCCAGCATGCGTCCGTCCGGCTCTTTCCAGGCAAGGCAGCTGGTGCGTGCCCAGGCAGGAAATCACTGCCAGAGGGTCATGCTGCTCTGGCAGGGCCCTCGCCAGGCTACTTGGCCACGGCAGGCATCATCCATCTGGACCCACAACCCCCTCAGGCTGACACGGAGACCGAGGCCAGGCCAGTGGAGCCCCTCTCCACTCTGGGCAAGGGTCTGCTTCCCCCCATCACTCCTTCCTACCCTGCTGACCCTCGGGCCCCCGACTTGGCCTTCTCACCCCAACGCAGCCACGAGGGGCTCCCAGAGCTCTGTCCGCAGCCTAGGGCAGGATGCTCAGGTTCTAGGCTGCAGTCCTAGGCTCAAGGCAGGAGGGCAACCGGTTAGCACAGTGGTTCTAGAACCCACGAGCTCTGCCAGCCTCACAAAGCAGGGAGCTGTCAGGAGCTGTCGTCACCTTCAGACCTCAGGCTAGCATGGGAAGGACCGCCTCCCAGTGTAGCTGGGGTCAAGGGTCAGAAAGCAAAAGGAAAGGCAGACAATGTGAGTATGGGGTGGGGCTGGTGGCTATGGATACTGGTGGACTGTGCCTCGGAGGGGACGCCACCGGAAGCACTGTGGGAGGCAGCACAGACGCCTGACCCCGCAGGAGAGGCTGGCGGGAGCGCAGAAGCCCTCACCCCAGGGAGGAGAGGAGGTGCCAAGGCCAACCCACAGCAGGAAATGGAAAGGGAGCAAACAGAGGGAGGAGGTGGCATGCCTGATCAGACAGCCAGCCAAGCATGTCACTGCCCCCACCCAAGGCCCCAGGGAAACTGAGGCTGAGGGCAGAGGTGGCCTCAAAAGCAGAGCCCCGACACCAACAGCTATAGGAGAGGTCCCCCAGTGCAATGTCATCTGCCCCCTGACTGCTGATAGGGTCACGCTGCGCTGTCCCTGGAATTTGCCCTGGGGCCACACACAGGCGACAGAATGAGCAGAGTGACCAGGAAGAATCTGAGGAACGTTTTCTTGTGCCTGGAGGGTTCCAGGCCACTAGGCAGGGCAGAGCTGCCAGGACCGAGGCTGCTGGCCCTGCACCTGGGTTTCTCTCTGCCCCGGGTCCCTCCTCCCCAACAGGAGGGGGAGTCCTCATCTTTCGCCAGCATCGCACCCCCAACTCAAACTAATCCTGGCACGCACTAGGAGCTCAAGGAACACTCACAGAAAACAAGGTCCTGCTGAGCTTCTGGGGAGCTGGGAGCTCCCCTCCGAATGGCTACCGATGCTGTACCCCTAGGCTGACAGTGAGGTAGGAATCCAACCACACCCAAATCACAGGCCGCCTGCCCCTTCCCACTTCTGTCCCGGCACCCGTGACCTGAACAGGCCAGCACTCCAGGAGACCACACCAGGCTCCCCGCTCACAGCCAGGCCAGGGTAGAGCCGCCAGGCCCCGACTTTCTCCCAGCCAGATGTGCAGTGACACAGGCCTGGCCAGCTAACTCCAGACAGCCTCAAGAACCGGCAGCCAGGCACGGCGCTGGCTGGACTGCCCGTCCACACCAGCCTTGCGATGTACAGAGTAGACAAGCTCTCCCCACAGCCCCTGTGTTATTAAGGCTCTACTGGGGCCCAGGCCAGGGACCCCCCCACCCTTCAAGCTCAGCCCCTCCTGGCACTGGCACCCAGCCCAGGCTCTCCTCTGGCACACAGAGCAGTGCCCCACCCAGGCCAGGTGTCCTGGGAACAAGACACATGCTACACCCACAGCTCTGTGACCCATCACCTCCAAGCCAGCGACCCTGCCCTAGCACTAACCTTCTTCCTCGAGGAGCCAGCCTTGGTGAGGCAGGATTTCTGCAGGGCCAAGTAGCCGCCAATCACTTCGATCTCATGCACAGTCGGGTAGCGCTTCTTCAGGGTGTCCCCCAGGTCAGCAGGGGGCTCAGAGAGGCTGCCCACCTCCACGTCCTCAGCCTCCTGTGGTCTGGGCTCTCCATCGGCCTGCAGGACGCCTGGCTTCCTCTTGGGCACCACCGTGAAGGTGTTGCTGCCTCGGTGCTGGAGCTCTGATGGGTGGTACCAGAGAGGCGCATCGGCCCCCGGGCAGGGCAGTTTGGCTTCTTGGGGGACTTCGTCCTCCGAGTCCACTTCATCGATGAAGGTGACAGGTAGCCCTGGCCTCCCAGGCTCCCCACCATTCTTGGCCAAGCTGGGAACCCTGAAGCCCTGGGCAGGCTCAGCTTCCGTGGCAGCCGGCAGGGAAGGGGGTGGTGAGGATGGCCTCTGCCACCTAATGGCCCGGTCCAGGAGGGCAGTAGCTGGCCTGGGGCAGGCACCCCCCTCCACCTCCAAGGGGCCCCTCCCAGGGACAGGCACACTGCTCACTCCAGGCACCAGCTGGGCTCCATGCTCCGGGTGCTGGGAGGTCCCTTGGGGAGGGGCCCCGGAAGCCTTGTGCTTGGGGATGAACACGAAGGAGTTGCGGGAGTTCACGCGGAGGCTGGCCAGGGCCCGGGCCTGCAAGTCCCCAGCAGGGATTGTGTCCATGTCTGGCTTGGGGGCTGGCCGTACTTCAAAGGAGTCGTTGGCGCTGGTGGCCCCGGAGACCCACTGGCGCTGGCTGGGAGTGGCACTGGCAGGGCTGTGCAGGGCGAGGGGCTCAGCTGAAGTGGCACTGGGGGTCCCGGGGCAGGGGGGCGGGTGGGCAGGAGGTTCCCCCGACTCCACCTTTGGCTTCCACTCGCCTGGCTCAGACGCAGAGCCCTTGATGCCGTTGGCAGCGCCGGCCCGAGGCTCCGGGACCGCGGGCCCGTTGGGGATCGGGCGAGCGCCTGCACCGCGGCGCAGGCCCCG